GTAATTACTTAGGCCCCTATAGTACAGCACCAACTTCGGCGTCGCTTTCGTTTGGGGCCCGGGAGCACTGGAAGGGCCTCGAGAAAGGAGAACACAGGGGGAAACCCGACGATGAGGGCTTCTGAAGCAGGGACCATGCCGACACAAGCAGGATGTAAATAACATACACAGGCACATTCGCGGGTAAGCACTCATGTCATGAGAGCAAAGGAGTTGTCACTATGCTCATTCGTGACCACTACGCAGTCAGTCAAGCTTCCCCGGGACGTCGTGCCTTACAACACCTACCCTGTGTTTGTATTTAAGGGCCAGGGCGGCTAGGGCTGCCTACGTCTATATGCAAGCCGACTTACATAGATCCCTATCCATGAGGCCCAACGCCCAATGTACACCCCTGTAAGCAATGAAAGTTCCGGCGTAAAGCCTTTTCGAACATGAAGTTTTAAACCTGGGCCTATTTAACCCTGAACCCTAAACAAAAACTTAACACGGAGCCACGAAGCTGGAGGCTTCTCCAAAAGCTCCGACTTCTTGATGGGGCCGCGGCAAAGAGGGCACAACCCAGAACCTTTGAAGGGCCTAGTCTTTCAGCACCTCAACCCTCCTAAACCCTAAACCCCCTTTTTCAAGTGCAGTGGCCCTTTCTCCGAAGATTGCCCTTGAGGGTTTCTGGGGTCTTAGAATAACCAATAACATAGAAGCCTAAATAATTACCAATACTATTCTGGGGATTCTTCATTATAGCTATAATATTATGGGTCATTATAGTTATAATATAGTGGGTCATTATAGTTATAATATAATGGGTCATTATAGATATAATATAACGGGTCATTATAGTTATAATATAATGGGTCATTATAGTTATAATATAATGGGCCCCCAAACCCTCTCAAACTCGCACAGGGCAGGCAAGGCTTCACGGCCACTGGGGCTGACTACTTCGACTACAAGCACCGTGCCAGCATATCCGGGTTGACCTTTGCCAACCAGAGGTTTAGGGTTTAGGGTTTGGGGTTTCCCTGAAACCAAGCCGCACCACCACGAACGACGCAGCTTCAAACCCCACGCTCTGAACACGATGCACCGCCAGCAAATACATCGTCATCAGACAGGAGTTCGCAAGCCCTGAACCCTAAACCCCCCAAAACCCCCAGTACCTAACCTTTAAACCCTTTGCATTCAGGCCGGGCTAAACCCTTCAACCGTTTTTTGCAGATGTTGGGTGAACGCCTGGTGTGAAGCCGTAAACCCTAAACCCTAATACCCTAATACCGTAAACCCTAAGCCCCAATGCACTAAACCCTAACATCCCAAACCACAAAGCCTCCCTGGATGCTTCGAGGCGCCTCCTTGGCCGAGTTGGCGAAGGGCCGCTTCGATGCAGCCCTTGGCGTTTAATTTAATGCAGGGTTTGGGGTTTAGGGTTTATAAAGGGATAGTTTTAGGCTCCGTGGAACAATTCGAAGTAGGTTTTGGCGTGGATTGGAGTAGAAATGCAGTGCGGAACCATTGCAGCACCGTATCCCCTGGAGAAGATGGGCGGCAAACACAATTTTTCTGAGAGCCTTGGAGACGAACACGTGATTCCGAAAAAGCAAACACAACTTGAAAGAATATCTAGCAGCCGGGCAGTTTAAACCTTAGGTCCTGGTAAGGTTGCTGCAGGCAGCAGCAAGTACCGTGCGAGTAGCGATGAGAAGAACAGTTGGGAAAGTCATGATGCTGATCACGGTCTTGGTAGCAAGGATCAACGTGCGACATTCGTCGTTAGTAGGCATGACGGACATGGAATGACGGTGAGTAAAAAGCTGTAGTAGGGCTACTTACAGAGGGCACGGGTAGCATCGAGCGTAGACGATGTGATTACATCACTGTCTCCAGTTACTGATCACTCGGAAGCCACTTGATGAGCTCCGACGGCCAGGTCGGAAGAAACTAATGGTTTGGGTTTTAGGGTTTAGGGTTTAAGTTTAGGGTTTAGGGTTTAAAGTTTAGGGTTTAGGGTTTAAAGTTTAGGGTTTAGGGTTTCGGGCACCACTCTGGGCTCCAAAGCAGCAACCAATTCGCAAACAGCTTCAAGAACCTCGTGACTGCACCGACAAGCCGGTATACCGGCCGGGATAAAATAGTAGTATTAGTATCCCCTTGTCGTCCCTATACAAGTACAGTATAACATACCCCAAACCCTATTCTTATTATTGAAACTCCTACATTATCCGGGTTGGCTGGGTGCCCCGAACTTCTGCTACGATCGCAGCAAAGACTGTCTGATTTCGTCTTGCGCAGGTGGCCATTTCAAGGGGCATTTGTTTCAAGGCCCTCCCTTGGGGTGTCACTGCAGTACATGTTCGAGGCCCCGATAAGCGTATGAAGCGAACAGGCATTGAGTGTGGCTCCTCACCAATGCATGCTTTATATATATATATATATATAACATACATAAAATTAATTAATGGTTCTTGCTATGTCAAGACATGTCAAGACTCCAGCATACTGAAACTTACATCGTCGACGGGACTCAATCAAAGCCCAGGCGCACGGTGAAACACGTGTCCGCAGCGCGTGACGATATCACAGCCCGACTCCATACAGATGCTGCCTCGGCTTTCAGTACCCTAAGCCTAAACACTAAATTGGTTGCACTTACGGGCATCCGTAGCGGCAGACGCAAGGCGGCGAACGGAATCGGCAGTATGTCTTCAAGACATCAGGCTCGACAAGATTTTGGATAGTGTGCATTTTCAATTATCTATTAGGCTCCTGGGCTCCTACAGTGATGGTCCATTTCGCGGTTTGGAGGTCTAGCCATGGTAGAAGTTCCGGCTGAGGGCTCCTACCCTAAACCCTTTTTTTTGAACCCAGACCCTAAACCCTAAACCCTAAACCCTATACCTAAACCCTAAACCCTATACCCTAAACCCTAAACCCTGACAATGACTTCAAGCCTTGCCAGGAGGCAGTCGTCTTCTTGCGCTTGCGCGAGATTGCGAAGCAGGTGCTCCACCTTTCAAGGCTTCCAGGCGTGCCGCTGCCTTGAGGTGCCCTAGAGTTACGAAAAATTCTAGCACAGGGTTACTAATGTAGGGCATGTATTTGCTGGTTGCTAATATGGGCTTAACTACTCTTATAGGGCTACTATATAGGGTGCCCGAAGGCGTTCAAAACCCTACAGCCACCATGCCAAATAGCCTTTAACCCAAAATTCTTCATAACCCGTTGCGTTGGGATTGCCCACATAGTATGTACTTCAAAAACATTCACTCTAAACCCATACAGTACTTCTTTTGGGAAGCCGTATGGAACCCCTACATTCCATATGGGATCCCTCGGACCCTTTGGGGTAACATGGAAGCCGCACAAACCAGAAAAGGGTTTTGAGGTATGCTGTTTTACGATAATACGATCCTAAAGAATAATATACACTAAATGCTCCGACCCCTAGAATAATGTTGGGTTTAGGGCTTAGAGCTGCTAAAGCCTGCTCTGTAGCTTACAATATAAATATACTGTTACTGCACCCTAAAGCCCCATACCATACTTTGAAGCCCCATGCTATACTGTTACTACACCCTAAAGCCATATACTATACTGTTACTGCACCATAAAGCCCCATACTATACTGTGACTACACCCTGTATCTATATACTATACGGTGGCTGCGCCCTGAAGCTTCACCTTGTCCTTGCCAAGGGCAGCCGTGGCGGCTTCCAGGAGGCGCGCGGCATCGCCTCCGAGTTGGTTTCGGGAGACTACAAAACTCAGAGGAACCCTAAAAGCGTTCCCTTAAAGGAACCCTACCTTAGCCTACCAGAACCGTCTGTTTTGTAGGGTCCCCATAAAATCCACATTAAGACTCTCTTCTGGAACCTACAAAAAAGTAGGTTTTGGAAGGAAACAGGTAAGAGTTCCCTAAACGGAACCCTAAGAGTTGCCGTAAAGGAACCCTAAGAGTTCTCTTAAAGGAACCTAAGAACTCCCTGAATGGAACTTTAAGCTTTTGGCCTCCTACTTTTTGCCTCCCGCTTTTTTCCCTCTCGCATGGAGTATTTGGGGTTTAGGCTTTGGGGAAGACACCTGAAACTATAGAGGGATCCTCAATCTGGTTCGGGGTATACTCCTTAAGCAAGGGACCCTAAACCCTAAACCCTAACCGGTTTTTGGAGTCTCCGGGTGAAAGAGCAGAAACTCAAAAGGCCCGGGCCAAAGACCACCTTCACTAATACAGGGGGTCCTGCTGACAATCAGAACGCTCCCTTCGCGAAATCGCTAGAGGTTCCTTTCCGGATTCTACAAAGGATCCATAACACAGCGACCTGACTAATTCGAATCTTGCAAGAGAGTCTTTGGGCGAAGGTACACCCGAAACTTGTATATGGACTATAAGGGAACAGTCTCATGATATTTGCCCCGAAGCAGGGCAGCCTTTCCCTTGCCGCAGTTCTGTCAGAAGCGCAGCAGGGAGCAAGGAGCTGGCGCAGCAAAGCCTGCGCGAACATAGCATTGGGGAATCAGGAATTAGACTTGCTTTCTTAGAACTTTTGGGTATATCAGCTCATACTATGTTCATGATATGGAACCCTAAAGAATAGTATTACTCATCCTCCAGGCTTTTTTTCAAGTTGAGGTGTGCAAAAGGTCTCGCATGTGCTCTTTGGCTGCGGCTTTAAGTAGGAACTTTTGTCGTAATGAGGCATTGGGAGTAACTTACATGATGCGTTGAGGGACTGGGCTCAAAGTAGGGACAAGGCTTGGGGGCCTTTGCAGCGTTGAAGAGTTTGGTTGGGCCGTAGGACGTTGCTGAAGGATTTAAGGGGTTTAGGGCTTTAGAGTTTCGGCGCTCAGACTCGGAGAATCCAGTTTAGGGTCTAGAGCTGCATGCTTGGAATTTGGGGCTTCGACGCTGCGAGAGATTTGGATCTGGCTCATGGCTTGTGTTGGGTTTTGGGGGTGTTGAAGGCCCCGGGGCTAAGTTGGAGTCGTCATCCGTATTTCTGCCTAAGATTACCTGCTTAAAGGATCATGGGACTTAGTAACTGAGGTTATAGACAAGGCAACTATACTTATAACCCCAATTAGGGTACTTATAACCTACTTACTAAGTCCCAAGATCCTCCAAGTAAGATTACCTAGGACTTCTTTGTTTTTATATGGCAAACTCAGCCCCTCATCCGGATAAGGACAAGGGAGTCAAAAAGGAAGGAACTTGCCGTGTAGGGCGTAGGTTTGGGGTGCTGGGATTGAGCCATTTACCGGGAAGAAAAAGCATGACCCCTAAACCCTTTTACACCCAGACATATGCAAGGAACCGAGGCCGAAACCCTAATCCGTAAACCCTCGGACTAAAGCAGGACGAGCCGCTGGCGAAGCCGAACAAGCAGAGACAGCACCTTCAGGGTTCCAGTTCTTTTTCGTCAGACCGGTGTCTCTCAAGATGCTAAGAATCATGTGCTAAAAACCGCATGTGTATATATGTGTGTAGAGTCTTAGAGAAGAGAAATGACAACGACAACTAAACTGCATAGTGTATTGCATGATGCCAGATACTGATCCCCTCCTACGCACAGTCGGTCTTGCACCGCCCGCTTCTCTCTCCCTCTCTCTCTATCTCTCCGTGAGAAAGAGTCTTCTCTCCTTCTCTCCACTGTAGCCCAGAGCCTTGCAACGCCCTGCAACCGCCGGCTGTGTCCGCAGATTGGTCTTTGGATATTCCCGAGAACACTTCCAAAGCACATTGAGCCTTGGCTCTGTACGAGCCCTCCCGACCCGAAAAGGTGATACGACCTAGCCTTGGCAGGCTGAAGTCCATGTCACCTCGTGAGATCCGGAAGCTAAACTTCAAGAAACTTGAATACACGCCCTTCGCCTTGAAGCCGACCCTCCCCAAGCCTTTAACCCTGAGCCCCAAACCCAAACCTTGCTTGGAGGATCTTGGGACTTATAAGTATAGTTACCTTGTTTATAACCTCAGCTACGAAGTCCCATGATCCCTTAAGTGGTTCAGAAAAAAAGGGGCCGACTCAATCTGTGGGCCAAGCGCCTGAGAGAAGTTTTGGCCCAGCTGGCTCCGCTCCTCCACAGCTCGGACCAAAAAAGCTCCCCAACATGTTTGTGCTATTGGTTTAGGGTTTATGGTTTAGGTTTAGGGCCCGTATGTTATTCTCGTGATCGGGGTCTGCAGACGAACAACATGCTACACACATTAATTGCTCATCTTGTTAATGGTCGTTGGTATGATGATTATTGCTACTTCGATGCTAGGATTTAGCCTGATCCTCATCCTCATCACCATCACAACCGTCATCGCCATCACGTCCGCCGCTGTCCTCGTCATCGTTCCGCCATAACACAACAGGATCCGGATTACCATGTTGCCAACAACGGCAAGAAGAACACTCGTCACCAGAAGCGCCCTAAACCCAAAACCGTAGCATGAACACCACATCCTGGCCATGTCTATTTCAACACCACCAGCTTCCGCCCACAACGGCTAAAACTCGCAAGAGTCTCTTGGCCACCACTTGGGGATCGCTCCTGAGTGCCTAGCTCCTGACTGAAGATGCTGAGAACAGTGCGAAGGCAGGTGTCCAGTAAGATCCTACAAGTTGGGTGCTGTCCATATACAGTAACAGTCTGTAGCAGGGGCTACTGTTGAGGGTGTTGTAGTTCACTCTATATCTACATTGTCAATATTGTTCGACTGCAACCTGTAAGTTTTAGTTTTAGGGTTGCCGTTGGAGCTTTGGCCTGCGCAACAGGCATGGACACCGGCTTCCTCTCAGCTAGAAACCCCTAACCCCCGTCCCATTGACACGTATCACACCTGCAGAATTCGTCAACATCTTTTATACATGATAAACCCTACCAAGTATCCAATTCAGTGCGAAAGTGGGCAGCAACAGAAACGGCTTCTCAGGATGGTTCTGCAGCATTGTTACCTTTGATTTCGGGTTGGTTCTCGACAATCCTGCTCGCGCAAAGCAGGCACAGCGGCTCCGGGACTTATCTCGGCGCTTTGTCTTTGCGCTCTCAAAACTTAGACAAGCCAGATGAGGTCTCGCGACTCGAACAAGGAGCTAGGAATGCAGTTCGGATGGACACAGATCACAGAAACAGTCAGGATTTGGGCATTAGGGCACAAGGCTACACGCCCAAACCTCAAAACCGAAAGCCTAACCGAACCAATTGAAACACACAAATCCGACAAAGCCAGGAACCTAAACTTATCAAGCCCGGTGCTGCGCCTCCAGCTCTTTGACGCGTTCCGCGGCACAGTTGAACAAGCCTGGACGAGGGTCGCACTCGACGGACAGGCGAGGATTCGGAGGAGTTTAGGTGCGGCTTAGGCTGTGGGGTTGGTTTAGGGTTCAGGATTCCGCTTCCCGGTTCACTAGCAGTAGTTGCAAAACCTCCTATTCGACAGGTCACTCCTGGACATCTCCCAGAAGTCACAGCACTGGCGAAGGTCTTCTTCCAAAGAGTTCTTTTCTTACGAAGTCAAGGAAATCCTCCGGCAGTTTTCACGGCTTCCGAGATGGACGTGATGGCCAGAACATGAGGGATAGCATAGGTATAGGGGTTAGGACAGCAAGGTCGAAGGCTCTAAGCATGATTGTGGGTTTAGGTTTAGCGAACCCCCTATAAACAAAGGACCTTACAAGCCCCAAGTAGTAGGATACTCTCCCGAAGCTTCCGGGATATCACTTTGTAATAAGGATGCCGAGAGCAAACGCGCTGTTTTTGGACAACTACCTCCGTGCAAAATGCAACGCAGGAAGGTCAGCATTGTGGAAGCCGAATTATTCACCAACGCACCTCCGAAATCAAAGGGTCTTCAAGTCTCACGGCATGCCACGGAATTTCCAAATCCAAGCACCGTCACTGGGTGAAGGCTTACACCCTGAACAAACTCGTGGCCCCAGGTGCAGACGAAGTGCGATCATAGAGGACCCGATCGCCTGGGTCCAGTGGCACCTTGACAACCTTGCATCAGGACTTAGCACTCAAAGGGAACCCCTCGGCAAGTTCATATGATCTGTAAAGTCGATGCTCAGGCTCGCATAAGTCAAGCAATGCTCTCGGATGTGTCGAAATCGCGGAGCAACTCTAGAGCTTATGAGCTTGGACTTTCGGGGCCGTAGTGGGTCTGCACAGTGTCCCGGTGAAGATGCTGTGAAGACCTTGCAAGCAAAGCATAACACAAACATCAGCCACCGCCCCTAACACACCCTGGTCTTCTGGGCAACGGAAGCACACCATCCGTATATGTGCCTATAAGGGTGCCTTGAAGGGCCCTATAAGGGTACCTTAAACGGGTTTAGGGCGTGTCCATGCGCCCATGTAGTATGTATATACTGAAGCTGCGGAAATCTGACGAAGAAGCAGATCGTGTCAGCTCTAAAGAAACCTATGCAATCCCTAAATCCAAAGATCTTGCTAAACCCTTTCGCAACGGCCTTGTCAGATCTCGACCGGACTGACAGCTTGCTAAACCCTAAACCCTAAACCCTAAACCCTAAACCCTAAACCCTAGCCTACATCCAAAGATCTTACCTCCAGCGTCTTCCGCGGCAGCATCAACAGTGGCCGGGAGAGCCCTGTCTCAGAATCCTGGACGCTCATGTCCTGGCTTGCGGTCTCGTGGTTTCTAGTGCCGTTGTCACCAGCAGTATTATTGATATTCTTCTTATTATTATGATTGTCTGTATGTTTGTTGCCGTGTTGCGTTTCTGAATTAAGAACCTGATAATCGTTGAAACCTGCCTGGCCATAGCGGTTTGAGTTTTATGCGAGCTTGGGAGTCTTGAGCGGTTAACCGATCAGTGGGGATAGACTGAAATTTTCGCTTGCAGCTCTAAGTTCCAGAGCCACCCATGTATTGCAGGCTGCATTTCCGTGTATGCCAAAATTCCCTGACAGCCTCGAAAGCTTGTCGAGTCTACCTGCCAAACTCGCACACTTCGTATTAACCCCGAACTGAAGCCGTTGGGCCCGAAACTTTAATTCCAAGTCAGATGCCAGGCACTTGTGGGTTTCCGAAAATAGGGGAGCCCAATATAGAACCCCAAATAGTAGGCTCCTTACTATAAGGACCCCCCAAAAAAGGTACCCTTGTTTTCAGAAACTCCCACTTCGAACCCCGTCTACGGAGCCGCTCGGAGGTGCTTGGAGGGAAGAGGTTTGACGGCCGCAGTAACGTCTGTGGGCCATCCTCCTCCTCCTCCAGACGCTTTGAACCCAAACAAAACCTGAAGCCACAAGGCCCGAGCCCTACTGTAGGGGCCTCTAAATAGAATAAAGCATTGGGGGTGTATTATACTATATTTATAATAAGGAACCCCCCAAAATAGCATTGGTAACTATATTATCGCTCCCATGGTACACCAAAGTTTGGGATTTCGACTGTAGCTTTCACAGTCCTTGGTTCGCCGCAGGCACCAGGTCCGCAACAGCAGCTGAAGCCTTTCGAAGCCCGAGACCTTCGCTGCAAGGAATTAGATTGTATAATCTAATAAGAGTATGTATACCCGACATGGTATGTGTGTATCTGTGTATGGATTATGTCGATGCGTTTGTCCCGGCTTGGCAAGTCGGCATTAATTATGCAATGAGAGATGAACATCTTATTCCAGCAGCGCCTGGCGCAAATCAGAGCAATCGGGGTCCTGCTGAAACAGTGATGCCTACCACAATCTGCCCGTGGTGAAGCAGCGGAGCAAACGACAAGCGTGTCTTGGTCCAAGCGCGTGCTCGAATCAGAACCATAACGATCATTCAACACCGCTGCTTTGAAGCCCCTGAGCTTACCTCCAACTCACTGGGCTTGACAGAAACCCAACGCCGGCGACTGTATGTACTCCATTCAGCGGCTATTCGAATTTAATTATGATGCCTATCTGGACTGGTACTGCTTGACTTTCCACTCCAGCATTAGCATCATGAGCCTGTCTTGGGGCAACTTTCGCGTGGCCATGACCCTAGATCTCAGCCAGGAAGCATCGCGGTTCTTCAGTGGTCGGAGAATGGTCCTGTTTTAAGTGGGCCGCATAGATGTGTGTAGAAACTCTTGCCCTCTCAGCCTGCTTGCTACCTGGATAAATCTATCCACCCATCCATCCATGCATGTATCCCCACTCACTCACCCAATCGCGCAAGTATGATTGAAACGCCTTCGGCCAGCCTGCATGTGTATATGCATGTATACACATATCACGTATGTATCTGTAAGTGCATACATGGGTAGGGATCCATGTCAAGATACGGATGTATGCACACTGTACTTGCCGGAAAGCTTCCAGCCCATGGGGATGCTCCTAAGCTTTCAACCCTGAGGGTTCAAGTACCTAATAATGATATACTCTCCCAAATGGGGGTTTCCAAAAATAGGGGACCCTAATATAGCACCCTAAATAGTATAGTATCCTTATTATAAGGACCCCAAAATAAGGTACCCCTAATTTTCGGAAACTCCCAAATAGTAACCTAAATAACTACTATCCGAAACCTACGTTCCTTTGGACCCTTAGGGCAACCATGAAACCAACCCACCTGAAAATGCAAGGAAGCCGCAGGTAAGGGTTTGCAAGGGCTGTGGATTTAAGGGTCGGGCTTTAAGGAGAAGGTAGAGGGATACCGCCAGCGGTTCACCCTCTGTGGAGCCCCGAAGAAGGTTTTGTCAAGCCCAGCTGGAAGCCTGAGTGCTTCGAGCGATCTTCTTCAAAAACCATGTGCCCCTTTTTGCCTTGGAAGGCCCTTGGTTCCAGCGGTATGGAGTCTTTCCCTCAAGCAAGGCAACAAAGCAATAAGCAAAATGTCGAACATGTTTTTGGATAGATGATTCGACTTGGGGATGACATCTCGAGCTCTCAGCACTCGGACGCATCCACAAGGACTTCTGCGCTCCGGACTCCGGACCACACGTCTGGAAGCTTTCTAAACAGCCAAATCCACGCCAGAAACATCCGGAAACTGAAACCCATCCAGCCTGCGATCTCTAAACTCCACAGAGGCAGACGAAAACCCTAAACCCTAAACCCTAAACCCTAAACCGGGCTCCGAAACCCCCAGCTCGATATTCCACCGACCCTGGTCCTACACGATGCTGCGTGCACCGCAAGGCTCTTGTAGCACTTTTAGAACTCCCAGATGGGAGTTTCCGACCCAAAGGGTCCTGGGTACTGTTATGGGGGATACTTTCCCAAATCATACTAACAATTCCTAATATAGAAACCCTACATTCTACTATACAGGTACTTTGGACCCTTTGGGCGAAAATAAGGGGTACCTTATTGGGGGGTCCTTATAATATGGATCCTACTATTTAGGGTACTATATTAGGGTCCCCTATTGTCAACTGTCGGAAACCCCCAGATCTTAGGGTTTCGAACTGTTTGGTTCGAGGGCTCGGACACTAGACTACTTAGAGGATCATGGGACTTAGTAACTGAGGTCATAAACAAGGTAACTATACTTATAATAACCCACAATTAGGGTACTTATAACCCTACTTACTAAGTCCCAAGATGCTCCAAGTAGGGTTTATGGGTTGAGGATTTCAAGAAGAATCCCTAAACCCTAAACCCCTAAACATCGAGCTATCCATCCGAGCCCAGAGGCCTTGAACCGCCGCGCCTGAATCCTTAGGTTCCCAGGCCCTTCATATGCGGTGGGCTTAGGATAGGGGATTTAGGTTCACGGTTAGGGCTTCAATAATGTTTCAGGGTTTAGGGCCATGAGGTAGTTTGCTACACAAAGCCCAAAGCTCTAAGCCCAAACCCTGCTTCCTGAACTTCCCTCTATATGCTCTTGCCCTACGTAGACTCCCTAGAGCTTAAGATAAACACATCCCCCAAGCCGAGTCCTGTTGAACCAATCGAACTGATCGAAGGGCTCGAGCTTCAGAAAACGGGCTAAGGAGAAGAGGTCCTCAGCCAAACATGGGATTGGTGTAGGGCCTTTTAGGGTTTTAGGGCCTTTCTTCCCTCTGGCATGGCTTTAGGGCTTTCTACTTAGAGAATCATGGGACTTAGTAACTGACGTTATAAACAAAGTAACTATACTTATAACCTCAATTAGGGTACTTATAACCCTACTTACTAAGTCCCAAGATGCTCCAAGTAGGGTTTTCGGGTTTAGGGGTTCAAGCTCTCCCACTCGGACAAGCGAGGCGAGGTTGGCGAAACCTAGGTCTGAAACTGGTTGTGTTGCCCTATGCTTCCAGGGACCTTATTATTGTGTCCTTGAGGGGTCAGGTCCTTGGAAGCATTGGGTTGAGCACGAGCTAGAAAGCTGCATCAGCCGCTGTCATGCCATAGGGTGTAGGGTAGACTCATAGACTGCCGAAGGAGCCTGCAAGTGGGTCTCGGGTGCAAAGGCGAGGCCAGCCAGACTATTTTAGGGCTTTTTTGGGTAGTTATCAAATTTATGGTCCCTTTTGGGGTACCCTAAATAATAGGTGCCGTATTATAATAAGGACCCAAAAAGGGACCATAATTTTGACAACCGCCCATATAGGGGGTTGCAACTTCGAGTTGCTCATTCCCTCACAGCAGATCTAAGGTTGAGGTTCTGAGGCATCATGAGCCCCCGATTAGGCTGGAGTTCAAGGTTTGAGAGCAGGGTTCGCGGCCACAGCGCCATATCATGCTCTCCCATGAAACATTCTGCAACATCAAAATGAAAACTATACGGGGATAACAACATCTATGAAAATGCTCCCTCAAACAAACTGCTCCTGACTCGAACTGAAGCCCAAACCTTCGACATGACTCCCGAAAGCTCACAGCTCCTGCACACCCTGTATACAGCCTGTAAAACCAGAACTACATGCAGGGTGCAGGGTTTAGGCTTAGGGCTTAGGGTTTGCCTTCCTGAAAAAAACCCGAACACTCGAAACCCTAAGCTGTTAAAAGCCCCTGCGGAGCCTCCACAGAGTTCTGGATGGGCGTCCCGGTAAGGCACCACTTGCATTCAGCCGTGACGAGCTGGAACACCTGAGGCGGTCGGCTTAGTTTAGACCTCAAGTTGATTTGGGGGTTTCCGAAGATAGGGGACCCTAATATAGTACCCCAAATAATAGGATCCTTACTATAAGGACCCCAAAATAAGGTACCCCTAATTTTCGGAAACTCCCGTGTAAACCCGAAACCCTAAACCCTAAAGGGTTGGTTCTGGCAGCTTTGGGTTTCAGCACTCACAACTGGGACAAGCCGGGCGAGGGTACTGGTACGATGACGACGGCACATTGGCCTAGTAGGGCAGGTTCGCCCTACCAAGCTTGGGGTTTAGGGTTGAAGGTTAGGGAAGGGCTTAGGTTTCTTCGGTTTTCGGGTTGAAGCTTTATGGGAGGTGGCTGATTTTAGGGTTTAGGGGGCTTTGGGGTTTAGGATTCTGCCCTTAGGTTCACAGGATCTCGAGGAGCAGCCGGGTCCGAGCCGTTTATCTTCGAGCCCAACTTGCTAGCTCCACGAGAGCGTTTAATCCATGGCCTTTCGAGGCGTTGGGGTTTGGATGTGGGGGCCTTAATATTTAGAGTATATTTATAGTCTGTAATAATGTATTATAGTATATTTTCCGTATGTCATAATTTAATAGTGTATTCTAGTATATTAAAGTATGTAATATCTATAGTGCGGCTAGGCTGCAGCCTGAGCCGTCGCTTGCCGATGGCCCTTGATGACCTGCTGTAGATGGGCAAAACCCCTGCAATGCCCAACGGGTTTCGAAAAGGCCCGAAACGGTTAAGGTTTAGGGTTTAGGGTTTAGGGTTTAGGGAGGTGCACTAGGCATAAACAAACAATTCCATGGCACAGGATGCTAGATTGACGTCAACGATGCCATCCAGCTCGTCAGCCCAAGGTTCTAGAGCTCTGGGGTGTATACTTAAAGGATCATGGGACTTAGTAACTGAGGTTATAAATAAGGTAACTATACTTATAATTACTTATAACCCCAATTAAGGTACTTATAACCCCACTTACTAAGTCCCAAGATCCTCCTAGCACTCTACAACCTACGGCTCTTCCCTAAAATCTGAACCGTTAGGCGTCGTTTGGCTAATCAACTGAGTAGTAAGAGCCGGGCCACATCTCGAAACAAGGGGGACGCAAAGAGGAACTTCGATTGAGGGCCTAGCTAGGGTTTCGACTTTCCTCAGCGACCTTAATGGAAGGATCCTTTGCTTCAGGGTCGCTGCTTTTGCTTGTTTTCTTGCTCTCTCTCTCTCTCTCTCTCTGCCGTTGCAACCAGTCCAGGGGATCTAGCAGGGTCGCTACGTTGGTGCCTCTTATCTTTCTGAAGCTTGTGGTGATGCCCTCAAACCCCAACCCCATCCCAAAACACTAAACCGGAACACCAAAAAAGGCCCAGGCCGCTCGCCGGTCTTCGGCGTGGCTTAAACCCTCCCAGAAACCCCTATTGCAGTCATAGTTCCACACTTTGAATGTCCAAAGACCATCCATACGACATAAGGCTCATGGGTTTCTTTGGACTTTCGGTGCGCAAATAAGGGAAATTTCTCAGAGCACATGTTATATACGAGGCTCCCGTTGTAGTGGGCCGTTGACAAGCTAGGTCGTTTTCAATGAATGGGTCTTGGAGAGTGTGGTGTGGGGAGATGAGATCTTGGCAGCAGTCTTGGTACACCTCCGTCATAGCATTTCTGGCCGTTCTCGTTTCTTGTTCGTCTACTCTGCAGACTGCACTAGTTAACAGGAGACAAAAGCCGAACAAACCACTAAACCCTGCACCCCAAACGGCGAAACTCAAACCCCTGAGCTTTCAAATCCCGGGGGTTTGAAGCATTAGAGCACAACTCGCAACATCCCACATCCCGGCCCGAAACTCTCGACAAGATCTCAAGATGCCTGACCCAGTGTTCGAACGTGCTGCCTGGTCACGTGAGCCTCATCGAGAACAGCGCGATGCCACGCAACGGAGCCCAGGCCCTAAAGCCATGCTTGGGCATTGAGTTTCGTGGTTCCACGGTGTACGGCTTTTTGCCACTGTCACTGCTCGGAATGGTCAGCGTTAGTGTTTACTTTACGTTCGGTTCGAGTTTAAGCGCTTGGGATGTGCCAATGAGCAGTAGAAACGCCTACGGGACCACTCGCTGAACTGCTGCAGGCCCCATGGGCCCATGAGCGAAGCATGCCGAGATGTCAAAAACTACGCCGGCACACGCCGGTGCTTGCCCCAAAGCGGGCTGAAAACTTGAGGTTTTAGAACGCTGAAGCTGCGGCAGCGTGTGGAGCCCTCTGTGTGTGTGCGCGCGTGTTGTCTCTCTGTGTGTGTGTGTGTGTGTTTGTTTGCTTGTGGGGGGGGGAGGGGGGGCTCATTTGTGCTTCTGCTCGCGGATATGAATCCCCGTTCGACGGGCCAACGTATGGTTAGTGTCCCACAGGGCAACAAGGTCATCGGCGAAAAAATAAAGGAACTACAGTTGAGGGTTTTGGAGCTTCGGGGGTGACACAGGATGTGAGGGCTTTGGTGGTTTCGCCCATCGCGAAAATTCGTGAGATCTTGGGGGCTTGAGAGAATTGCAGGCCCTAATTGATTCTGAAAACATCTCGCAGGCCCTAATTGATTCTGAAAACATCTGAAAACTATATGAAGTAAGTTCTTTGCCATACTGTGGCCCTCGCCTGAGATCTGAAAGGAATCTCTGACTGCATAATAGCGGGACATACAGTGCCAGTTGTGTTATACTATATGATCTTTTACAGTCTCATATCTTTTCTTACCCTTTATTAACGCTATCATGTTATAGTCTGTATAAATATATCGTATTACATAAACCATGTAATGTCAGACTATATCATATTATAGGATGTAGGGATTCAAGATGGGGTTATATCTCTTCTACATATGATGCTGTATGTTCTCTTTATATTACATGTTATACATTATACAGTACATAATATGCAGCGATATATATGGTATATTATATGTCAGGCCAGCGGATCAACCCTAAACCTGCAACATCGAAGCCCGAGAGTCCGTTTTAAGTCGGGTATAGGGTTTAGCGTTTAGGGTTCCATTTCATATATCGAGCGCAGTGACGCTGCGAGCCCCCGTCGTAAAAGAACCTGAACTGAACCCATCTAAGAACTCTCTGAATCAGGCCTGAGTCTTGTCCCTTGCTTCCGCCCGAAGAACATCATAGGTAGTCCTTGAATGTGAAGGAATCTAGTGTTGTTGCAGGTTTTCAACGGCTTTTACAGAGAGGCATGAGGCACAGATTTCACGAAAATCCCCGTGTGAGTGCTAAGCCACCCAAGACTCCGTGGGCTTCGGGCACGAAAGACTGGTATAGGGTCAGATGGCGTCAGGGCTCAGATTCGAGGCCATTCTAGGCTTCAGGCAGCGCAGAAGAAGTTGTGATGCAGCAAAGGCTCAAGGTCACGTCATGCAGACCAAAGGTCTTCGGGTGGCGATCGCGGTCTGGACCATGATACGTCCTCGCACATGCACCAGCTACACAACCAGAGCGTATGGACTGCGTAGACCTTCACTAGAATCCGACAAAACTCATAAAGTCGTATAACCTAGCAAATGTGCGCAGGCAGACATGGTGGATGATGACGGCAAGACATTTACGTCGTCTTGTCATTAAGCCTATGCGTGATTCTCGCATCTTCAATCTTCAATCGGATATAAAGACTTGAGACCTAGAACCCATGAGCCCACAAACCTCGAAGCCCGCCTTTTTCTTGCTACAACGACGAACCTGAGGCCCGAAACAGTCCGTGCAGTCGACGAGTCCTGACTCGTAGGCTTGGCGCATGCAACTTCAGCTGCTCCGACCAGTTGTACAGCACCGACAGCGGGCAAATCACGAGGTTTTTGCCTGAATCGCAGCAAAGTAGAGCGAGGGAAGGGATGGGAGTGACGGAGCGGCGCAAGGAGACGGAAAGCAGGAAAAGGGATCGCCCCTAAGACATCACTCGGGGTGGTTTCCACTTCTGTCGTAGCTCGGCATTCCCCGAACGGAAATATGCACTGCTCTTTCAACCAATTACTCTGACATTATATTATATTATATTATATTATATTATATTCTATTCTATTATATTCTATTATATTCTATTATGTTATATTATATTCTATTATATTATATTATGTTATATTATATTATATTATATTATATTAAGTGTCTTCCCGGCCTGGGGACTTCCCGGTTGTTGCACGAGACTCCCGCTGCGGGCTGGCAAGGATGAGCGCGATGGTCGTGATGGTCCTCCACTCTTGGAGGAATTAGTTCGAGATCTGGGGTTGAAGTAGTGGTTTGATGACTGTTGCCCTTGTTGTTGTTGTTGGTGGTGGTGGTGGTTCTGGTGGCGGCGGTGGAGGTTTCGGGGTTGGTGTTCGTGGTGCCGCTGCCGTTTCTGCGGCTGCAGCTGCTTGGTGTTGTTGTTGCTGCAAGGGATGAGCTTGGCCTAAAATCCTTAGGTTTAGGTTGAGCCTTCGAGCGGAACCTATCGGGCGTGGTTCGAGCTCTGCAGTGGAAACGGAAGTTCACAGGTCACGGCCCGCTGGCTCATTCAAAGGTACGAGTACGGTTTACAAACCGCTGTTTTGGGGGTTTCGAGTCTCGAGTTGAAGGTCGCGAAATTAGTTCTTGTTTGAGGCTTTACTCTGTAAGTTGCAATGAAAGGAAATCACGTTGCTTACCACGGATACAGACGCAGCAGAGTCGCTTTCCCAGGCCCATGTCGTCGGCGAGGATACCGCCTCGCGGCAACCGCGGCGGCTTCTTAAATGCCGAGTTCGTCGCCAGGTTCTTGTAAACCTGGGAAATCTCGGCTTGAAGGTTCAGGTCTGTGGGCCTTGAGGTTTCAGCACATTTCCTGGGTTGTATGCTGTTCAGTGCAGTTCAGTCGGCATTGTGACTCGTGGAACATCTTGGCGGTCCATATGCAGGTGAAGTTACTTCGCACCAGCCTCATGTAGGCGCCTAAATAATTAGAATAAGGTTTTGGGGTATATAAAAACAATAAGGAACCCAGAAATAGTACAGGTAATTATTCAGGCCACTGTATTAGGTTCAGCTAGTTCAAGCTCCTGTAAGAAGCAAGCGATTCCAAAACCCCCTGATTCAAGATCTCTCTTGGAGGGTCGGGGGACTTAGTGAGTAGGTAACAAGTCGACTTATAAGTAACCCAAAAGGGACTCTAATTGGGATTATGATACTCACCAGTCTAAAAAACAACCAAAAAAACCTAACTACCTACTAAGTTCAGACCCTCCAAGCTTGGTGTTGGGCCTAGGATCCCGTTCCGGAGCATAAGGAAACCGGAGCCTAAAACTGTTCTCGGACGGCTCTGGCACCCACAGGCGAGCAGAACTTAAAAACCCCAAGCCCCTATGAGGCCCTTCTTCACAAGGGTTTAGGGTTTTTGACACTCACACTCGGACAAGCCTGGCAAGGTCCACCACGATACTGTCTTCAAGATGCATTAACAGAGACCTCTAAGCAGGTATCACTTGGAGGCTCGCTGTCAAGTAGGATAGC